GGGGGGGAGAGAGAGACCGTGAGGATCACGCGTGCGGTTCCTTCGGTTGTTAGGTCGTTGTTATACAGGTTCTTAAAGGTCCCGTCGTCGCTCCGTTTCTCCGTCTCGCTCTCGCACTGCCGCGGTGCGCGCGCAGAGCCTCGACCGGCGTCCGCCAGACGCCGCTGGCGCTGTGGCCGGCCTCGGCCTGCGCGAGCGGGCTGCTCAGTCTAATTTGAACCGTCGCGCGCGCCCGACGCGGGGCCACCGACGATCTCTCTCCCTTCCTCCGGCTCTGGCGACACGCGTGACACGCGAGGCGCCTCGTGTGCATGCCGCGTGCGACACACGCGACCCGATCCCCCGTCCATATCTTGTCCGGAGCCGCGCGACCATCTTTGCGAGAGGAAGCGGTTCGTGTGAGACAGTGAGAGAGAGAGAGAGAGGGAGAAAGGGAAAAAAAGAGAAATAAAGGGAGCGAGAAATAGGAGGAGAAAGAAAGAAAGTTAAGGAACAAAAAAAGAATATAGAAGTTGAGAAATAGAACGGGTAAAAAGCGTGACAACGCGCATAGGTGACAACTTCTCAATCACTCTTCTCTACTCTCTGCGGAGTATTCGATCCTCAATTCCTCTTCCCGCGGCTCTTCCTCCTCCGTCGCGGATCAGCGAGGGTGGCCTGCTCAAAAAGCGAAACTGTGCGCCACGTTACGCACGCGAGACAGAGAGAGAAAGAGAGTAGTGAGCTACGGTCGAAGAGAGTGAAGTGCGCGCGCGAGAGGGCGGGCGGCCGCACAGCCTCGTGGGTATATTTAAATAGTGTCTCGGCTGGTCAGAGGAAGCCGACGCTTTCTTCGTCGTCGTCGTCGTCGCCGCCGCCGCCGCTGACGTCGTCATCGTCGTCGCCACCGCCGCCGCCGTCCTCGTATTCCTGTTCTCGTCTCCGACGCCTGACTCAACCTCTCCCGCTTTTCCCGCTTCGAGGCGACTTGCAACGCGACACCGAGTCTCGGACAGCGTGAGGGGGTGGCGAGGCGATCACTCGCGGAATTCCGTTCGCCTCGATGTTGCTGACGGTTCGGCGAGGACAGACGTTCCAGGCGGTCGTGGGTGTCCGATTCGATCTGCATGCGAACGAACACGTGCGCCACTATTAGAGGACTGCTGCTGCCCGTTGGACTGGCTCCTCGTCGGAGTTCATCGACTGCCGAGCTTCGGAATTTCTTGCCGTTTGGGATCGCGGAAGGAGCCGGGACGATCGATCGCTTCGGATCAGAATGATCGCGCCGATCGTGCGTCATGATGATCAGGACCTATGAGAGGTTGATGTCAGTTGTCGCGCCCGCGATTATCGTAGCCGCCGCTTGGCATCACCTGCGATAATAAACAATATTCGCCCGGAGGGAAGCCGAAGAAGATAGGAGAGAGAGAGAGAGTAGAGAGAAAGAGAGGGACAGAAAAGGAGGGAGAGAGAGAAAGAAGCGGCCGTATGGTGCGGCACGGTGCCTCCGCCGGCATCGAGGATGAAGAGGACGGGATCGCGTAGGATGAAGACCGATGTGGAAGAAGCTGCGACGTCCCGCTACCAGTGGTACAACACCTCGTGAGACGTTCGAACCGGACATCGAAGAAAGCCGTGCGACACGCGCGCGACAGTAAGTGGATAATTGCGACGTTAGCGAGGCTAGTTAACGCGGCGAAGGGGCGAGAAGTGGCTCTCCGTGCGAATCGGGGTGACCGAGGTGTCGACCTCACCCCCGATTACACCATCAACCAGGTTGGATGATGTGGGCGCCTCTGCTTTTGGCCGGGTTCTTAAGCGGCTGGTGGGGCGCTCTGGCGCTCGCTGCGGCACCCCCCGGCATTCGGGACACCGCAGGAGAGAAGTACACGAACATCGCCGCGAGGCATTATCGTCCGCCATCGATGAGCCTCCTGGACGAGACGGTTCGCAAGATCGGCTATCACACGCGAGAATTCGCCGTGCACTCCTGGTCGGAGACCCGCTCGGCGCACCGCGACCTTGACAAGATCCCATCGGTCGGGCCGACCTCGGCGAATCAGGATCTCGCGAAGGAGAGAGAACACTCCGCGGAGAATGACGCGCGACACTCGACCCGCGGCGACGACGAGCCGCCGTCGTCGGCCGAGGAAGACCTCGACCCCCGGGGGATCCCCCTGAACGCTTTTCACCCAAAGATGGACGAGTCCGCTTTGACTCGCGCGCCTCGTCACTCCTCGACGCAGACACCCTTCGCGTACCCGCCGACGGCAGCGACGGAGTCGTCGATGCCGCGCTCGCGAAGATCGGCGAAGCAGCGGCCGAAGAACCGCGCGAAGGCGGACTCGCCGCGCGAGCAGCGCCGTCGTTGCCGGAACAAGGACCGCTGTCGCGGGCAGAACTGGTGTCCCGACGTCGACGTGGGCAACCGCGCTTACCTGGCGCCCACCGTGTTCGAGGGCAAGGCGCGCAGCATGTCCTCCCCGCGGAAGCCCGGCTCCAACTACGCGGTGACCTTCGAGGTGAAGCAGGTATACAAGAGCCAGTCGGGCTTCCAGCCGCTGCAGAAGAACGACAGCGTGCGGCTGCACTTTCGCGACAAGCTGACCTCGGGCAAGTCCACCGTGTGCAACGAGGCTGCCGCCAAGGGCAATAAGCAGCAGCGCGATAATTCGAGTGATGTGGTGCGAGCCAATATTAAAAGGGGCAAAGTGTATCTAGTGTTTGTGGATCGCGTGGGACCCAGGAACTTCACGATTCTCGGCGAGCCGGTAATCCGAAGTAAGAAGAACGAACAGGCCGTCCAGGCTGTCGTTCGGCCGGATTACGGTGAGTCCCAGGAATTATGCAAAGTCCGCGCCGGTAGGGTCGCCCTCACCGCCGGCGCGATTAAACTAGAATCGTAGAGCGCGATATCGGTATACGTACGGTTATGGAGAATCAAGCCGGTCGATAATCGTAACGAAACTCGCTCGTATGGACCACGGAGGATCAAACCCCTAGGAAATCTCTTCGGAATAGGGTCGTACTCGCGCGCGAACATGCATGGTCCAACGTCTCCGTTAGTTTGCATGTTCCTACACCACGGTCTTGCTGTTCAACATAGGTTCCCGTTATCAATTATCCGCGAAAGCGGCATTTCTCACGTAGAATATTCTACCGAGTCTGCCCGATCCGACATCGACTTACTTCCCAATGGGGAAGGTTAATGTGTTTATTTATTATTGTGTAAACACTCTTTGATAATACAGAAGGCGAAACAATGTCGATACGACGTTTTGCACGTTGAAATCAGCTCGATAGCGCTGGTAAAGCTGTACGAACTCGACGTTAGTTTGAATTTCGACTTATTTCTGAGTTGCTGTAACATACTTAAATGATAGGTAGCCGCTCCTGCTACGTTTTTGCTCAATTTTAACGTTGTAGTTTTGCGCACATCCGTTTATACGTAAAATCTCAATTCGAGATCGAAGTAATATTAATATATTTTTCACCTGATGTCGAAGTAATTCGTCGATTCGACATAGATTTCATGTTGATTCGATTTCTTCCCGGGGAAAATTGAAAAGTTAATGGGTTTCTGGAGATATTGCAGATCCTTCCAAGTTTCACAGTGCTCACCTTAATCGGCAGATACCTTAATTGACAGATCGGTAGATCATCTTAATTGATAGATCTACTTATACACGTCGATAAAACACCTGTAGTATGTCGAATTCACACTGGTTTCGATGTCTAAAACTGTTTGAAATTTAGCTGCTTTTGGAATAGAAAATTGCTCAAAGTCGAAGTGATTTCGATGTCGAAAATTCCTCGAGACCGATTCTGTCTGTAAGTCGATGTTGGATTTTTCTACCTCTTTTCGATGGTCAAATTCCGATGTCGTTTCGATATCATTTCGACTTCTTATTTTTCACTGGATTACTCAGTCTGATACAGCGGTTCTTATCGCCGATAAGAAGCGTTACAATCGCGACAATTAACTATTGCAATTAACCGTTGGCAATACAGTCAAGTGTCTTCTTACTCATAAAAAGACGCCGACGAGAGACCTTTATGTTCCGATAAGACGCTTCAACTCGTTTAAACTAACAGAGGATGTTCGGAGGTAGGAATTTCCCACGATCAACTTACGGTCTCGAGAAAAAGACCAGGGGTTCAATTTATGAAAGAGCACGTTTCGGGCGATTCCGAAGCGCGTGACAAAAGGAATTTCGACCGATGACCGTTTTGCAAAAGAATATCGCGTCCAGCGGAGTCTGGAATACTTCCGACGATATATATCTAGGACGCGAAAAGAGAAATGCCCTGTCAATGAGGCCGATGAGAGGTTACTCAGTTCTTCAAATGGGAATTCTTACAGAGTGATAGTTGACACAGCTGGAACATTCTCTCGGACGCGCGAGCATATTCGGGCGAGGCAAAAGAACCGACGCCGTCCACGGCGAGGTTCCTCTCGGAACAAACCAGATCGTACCTATGGAATTTTTCAGTTACTTAGCTACGGCAATTGTACATCGCAGAATGACAGCTACGATCGATGTGATGACTCGAGGGCACGATCGAGAGCTCGATGCACTCTGTCGAATGGCTGCAGATGGGTTTTTTTTTACCGTTTTTTTGCCCTTTTTTCGGTCGATGTAGAATTCTCGATCAGCTTCGGGATATAGCGCGGCAATATCGTTAATACGAGAGGAACGTTCCAATAGGCGTTTACATATTTCCCTTTCGCAGATAGCCCCGGCAATATGGCAGCTAACTTATGTAAACGCACGTGAATATTTTAATTCGCGCGTGATATAGCGCTCGGTCTATAGGTAAATTTCGCGTATAAACTCGCAAGTAACTTTTATCAATTTATAAAATTTGTTTGAACTATTAATTGAAGCGTATGGGCTACCTCCGGCGGAAAAATTCCGCGGGAATTTAGCAGAATTTGTTAATTTTTATTTGTACCGTTTTTGTATACGAATGCAATATGAATTCATAATCTTTCGCGGCACTGCCGCGGTAGCTTCTAATTTTCGTCCGTCGCGTGATAATTATACTTTAGTGTAATTTTAATCGACAACTGACATCTATGAAACTTATGGCGGACGAGCTTGAGATCGACCTCTATTGAAATAGCGAGATTTATTTAACTCGATCTAAACGGGTGGCAAATTCACGGTAATGCATTGATTTGTGCATCACTTTTGCATTCATTGCGAGGAAAAGATATTTGAAATGTCCCATAGATAGAAATTTATTGCTGTTAAAAGACGACTATTCGGGTACCCGAGTAATACCCGAGATACTCCTGGGTGATTCCTAAATACCCGGCTACTCGGATATTCGGATTGCCGATTTTTTAAGGTATTATCCGAGTAAAGATTATAATGTAATATACGATTGTATGACTGTGACAGATCATAAACTCTTTGAAATTATCGATTTTTGACGAACAACATACGTAACATATAATAAATATGCTCAATGCATATGCCAATGGTATCAAACGGAAGACACAGCCACGCCGAAAAATAGAGGGACGCGCGCAGAAAGTAGCCACGCACATATGTGCTTTGAACGCATACTATATACGCACAGAAGAAAATCAGTCTTAAATCAAGAATAGATATTCTCATATATAAGCAAGAATATTATAATCTTCTTAGAAGATTTTTAATCTGGAATTGAGTTCAAGTAATATTTGCATCAGTACAAATTCAATCAAACCAAGACTAAGAATTGTCTAAGAATATTATAATTTTCTAAGACAATTCTTAGTCTTGGTTTGATTGAATTTGTACTGATGCAAATATTATTTGAACTCAATTCCAGATTAAAAATCTTCTAAGAAGATTATAATATTCTTGCTTATATATGAGAATATCTATTCTTGATTTAAGACTAATTTTTTTCTGTGCAATATTCGGATATTTCACGCAATTTTTAATACCCAGTATCCGGGGTATCCAGGTGTCCCAGTATCCGGGAATAGAGATAACCCGGTTTATATTTGACAGTATTAATAGAAATATATCGCTCTGAATCATCAAGGTTTTAGTTCACTTTCAAAGACCCCCTGTTCGACGCATTTGAAATTTTCCAGTCCTCCCGATCGGGAGACTCCAATCAATCCCGAGAGATCCGTCTCAGCTGCATTCAGACGCATCGCGTTTATCACTTGCAATCTGTCGTTACAATAATTTACCATCATCGCTGCTCCCGCGAATCTCAAGGACTGCCAACGCGAAACGTTCGAGTCCGCCGAGTTATCTTGCTGCAAATGAACTTGCGTGCAGAGAGAGAGAGAGAGAGAGAGGAGCGTTTTCTCCGGACAATCGGGACGCGCGGCGTCGCTTATATTTAAACCGCCACGTAAGTCGCACGAGTCCGCGGCGCGTCGCTTTGGCTCGCGACGATGTCGACGACGTGCGTCCCGCGCCGCCACCTTCCTCTTCGTACTCACGCGAACGCTCGTAATCGCCGATTAGTAGTACGCGACGTCGCTCTCCTCACCTCACCTCTCCGTCGTGGCGTCGCGGCGGTGCGTAACGAGCGTGAGTTTTTGAAGGTGGTCCAATTTGCCGGCGGTTCAATGCGCTTCCACTTCTCCGTTCTCCCTGAGATCTCGGCGTCACCGGCCACTACTGGGCCCCTGCGACCGCTCTCCCCACCTCTGGTTTGTAGCAACTGCACGGACTTCTCGATGACTTTACTGCTTGTGACTCGCGCGCGACGACTTTCCGCCGTCGATTTATCGCGCCGAACGTGACGAATGACGAGCACGCAGCCGGTATTCTCTCCGAGCAGAGAGAGAGAGTGCGGAGGAGGGAAGGGGGAAGATTTTTCTCGCGATGTCGAAACGCTTCCGGAACTGAGAGTGTTCCGATCGCTCGCGCAGCCTGGCCCCTCTCTCGGATCACGCTTCAGAGTTAATTAACTCATTAGCGACTCCGTAAAGAATACGCGTTTAGCCGCCGCCCGCAAGCCCGGTAACCGCCGCTTCAAATAAGTAAAGTACGAAGTATGAATCGCCGGGAGAAGTACCAACGGGTTAATGCCTCGTAGCTACGACAACCGATTCATTCCGCGACGTCGATGCAGGAGGAGCGTGTTCGGATGCGCGGCATTTGCATCTCTAAGGGCCGCGAGACGCCCGAAGCGGTAGGGTCTATCTGATTCTAGAGGCAATCAAATATTAGAATAAGCTATTAGAAACAAGAAACAGATATATAGATTTAACCGGCGCGCGGGGTATAGAATCTTTCAGGTATCCGCTGCGTCAGGAGTCTCGCGCGTATTAACACAATTGTTGACCGATCGCGGGAAAACTCGCGAACTTTCCTCGGTCGAGCGCCGCTCCGCGCGAGCGGTAGCTTCGCGCGCTTCCGGAAAAATAACAGCCGAGAACGCGGAGGAAACGTTGAAAACAACCGTCGAACAATTGCAAGAATAGAGCGACTTATGTACTAAATTCTTCATCCCATTACCTTCCGCTCAAACTCGCCATCGCGGGCTTCGTGTCAAATTTGAAATACGGACACGTATTAATTTAAACGCGTTTAGACATGTTATCGGGAAAATTCTTCGGTTAGATGTTTTTCGTCCGTTTGCGAGTAGTTGCGTTTCAAAACTCACATAGAAAATAACAGAAAAATAACACAGCGTTTTGAAACGTACGATACACGGGGGAAAAAGAGAAATAATTTGACGACACGAAATTGGTAAATGTAGGAAAGGACTGTTTTGTTTCAACAGCAAATTAATGTAATTCCGAGGACACATTCACTCAGCAGAATATTTTATATTCTGGCAATAAAACTGCTTCCGCTCTAATTATGAATAATTCGTTAATTTAGTTACGTCAATTAAATTTTATCCCGCTGTCACAACAAGAGATCCGGTTTCGCTGCAACGG